ACCGCAGCGCAATGAAACGAAGTGATACAACGGGACCCCAACGCCGCACCACACCGCACCATTTCGGGCCGCACAGCACCGCCCGGGCCGAAGTCTGTGTGCGGGGCGGTGCGGGGCGGTGCGGGTCCAAAGTCCGAGCGGGCGCGGCGGCGATGCTCGGTGTGTGCGTGCGGGGAAACCGCACGGCAGGTGTGTGCGGGGCTGCGGGGCTGCGGGCAGCGTGGACCCCCGGGGGGTGTCGGGGGGGAGGAAGGGGTCGGGGGGAGAGGAAAAACAGCACCGACGCGGCCTCTGCTGTGCACAGGGCGATGTCCGTCATCTTCATCTTCTTCATCATCTTCGTCTCCGTCACCGTCTTCGTTGTGTTCCTCTTCGTGTGCCGACTGCTCTGCCGCAACCGCGCCGCCTCCCCGCCCCGCCGTGACCCCCCCGACCCCGCGCCCCCCCCGCTGCACCCAATGCCCGCCCTGCCCAGCCTGCCGGGGGGGGGCGGGCCGTTCGGCGTGGAGCCCCCGCCCTATAGCGAGGTGCGCCCCATATATCCGGGATGGGCGGTGTGAAGGGCGGGGGGTGGGGAGAAAAGGGGGGGGTGGGATGAGAGGGCTGCGGGTGCTGCCTATGGGGCTCGGGGTGTTATGGGGCTGGGGGTGATGGAGTTGTGGGGCTGGGAGGTGATGGAGTTGTGGGGCTGGCAGTGATGGAGTTGTTGTGGGGTCAGGGATGATGGAGTTATGGGGCTGACAATGATGGAGCTGTGGGGTCAGGGATGATGGAGTTGTGGAGCCGGAGGTGACGGACTTATGAGGCTGGGGGTGATGGAGTTATGGGGCTGGGGGTTGACGCAGTTATAGGGCCGTCCCCGCTGACTCCCGATCCCCGCAGGTGGCAGCGCAACCCTCGCTGTTCCCGCAGCCCGCTCTGTTCCCGCAGCGCGTCTGCAGCGTCCCGGCATCGCCCCCCCCCGGCAGCCCGACCCACTATTAGGGGGGTTTGCAGCCCCCCCCGGGCACCGCGGCTCTGCGGTCACCACCCATCCCGGCGGCTCTGAGCTCTGCTGCGCTCCCTTTGTGCCCGCCGTGCTCCGTCTGAGCCCCCATTGACCGCCCCCCTCTTCCTGCCCCCCCCCTCGGAGCTGTGCCGGTGGAGCTCCGTGCGGGGATCTCAATTTATTGTGGCAATAGAATGGAAAGAGCCCGCACTGCTCTGCTGAGCCGGGGGGAACCGTAGGGGTGGGGGCACAGCTGTGCATCACCCTCCATCCCATCCCATCCTGTATCCTATATCCTATATCCTATATCCCATCCCATCACATCCTATCCTATCCTATCCTGTCCCATCCTCTCCCATCCTATATCCTATTGTATCTTATTCTGTCCCATTCCATACCATCATATCCTATATCCTATTGTATCTCATCCCATCCCATCCCATTCCCTCCCATCCCACCCTATCCTATCACATTCCATCCCATCCAATCGTATCCCATTCCCATCCACATCCCCATCCCATCCCATCCCCTCCTATCCCTGTTTCCATTCCATCCTACATCCCATCCCCATCCCCATCCCATCTCATCCTATCCTATCCGATCCGATCCGATCCGATCCGATCCTATCCTATCTTATCCTATGCTACTCCATCCCATCCTATCCCTGTTTCCATT